AACGTGTTTTCGAATTGCTGTTGCTGAGGTCGTTACAGAGCTATCTTGTACAGTTGCACGTACCCGACTGTCTTAGGTTTTAATTGCCGTAAACACTACCACTTTTGCTTTAAGGTACACTTAAAAGATGGAGTTAAATGTTACACGGATCTAGAACATGTTCATTCAGCGAAAAATGTTCTTGTATATCCGGCTAGCCATTGGTAATTCATCTATGTAAATATTAACATAGTGATCTGTGTGCGGCTGGCAGATGTTTACGCACCGGGTGATTGAGTACTCATCAGAGTTCCAAGCTTCAGTAATCTCACGATACTGCCTGTTTTTAGTTCCCAAACTTATCATCTACACTAGGAAATAAAAGACAGGACCAGTTTTGAGTGTGGACAAGCAGTTATGAAAATTGACCTTCCAGTGGAGTACCTGCTTGTACCCCTAACGCCGTAAGTCGTAACTGACTCAGATGGCCTCACAAGTTCATCTCATCAAAAATTTCCATTCTCCATTTTATTGGTGGGTGGCAAGTTCCTGAGGAAAGTTGGACTAGGCAGTACGCCGGCCTCGCAGAGTGAAGACCACAGGTCAGTTCTTATCACTCACACGTATTTCTTCAGTTGTCCCTCTTTATTCCGCCACTAGCCAGGGTTAGATTACAGTAAATTGACATCATGGACGATTTTTCCGTCAATTCACTGCAGTAAAGTCAAACTTTTTCGGTCAGCAAGTAAACAGGGCCTAGTTAGCAGGTTCTTGATCTGCAGACCATCAGCAGGTAATAGCGCGCCTGATTGTTGAACTAGATTTATCTGATAACTGAGCGAAGTTCTCATCACTTCCCTATTGCTTCTTGTTTTTTCGGCTAAAATTTGAATTACTCGGTTGCATCGGTGCACGCAGTTTTTATCTGACTTTACAGTCACACTAATTGGAAACTCGATTTATCTTGATGATATAAGCACTTCAGAAGAAGAAGATGCGTCCACTGGGACAAGATTTTTATTCTCCTGACGTTTGGAATTCCGCTGAGAATCCTTAATCATAGGTAACCATTGGATAGTCTGAAACATGCGCAGACAGACTCAAATAGTCTCAGAATATTATACGATTACCTATGATTAAGGATTCTCAACAGAATCCGAAACGTCAGGGGAATAAAACTCCTTTTCCAGTGGTCGCATCTTCTTCTTCTGAATTGCTTCATGGAACTCGTATATTCACTTCTATTGACAATGTGAGCACCGTTGATCGGGTACTTCTAGACGATGGGTCCCTTCTGTGCAGAGAAGCCGTAGTTCTCCTTTTTACTGAGGGGCTGTCTTGTTAGTAGCCTCGTATACTTGGGGCGTGTTACTTAGAAGGCTCACACACGTCCAAAAATTCAACTTAACTGGGCGAGGCTGAAACACGTGCTACTGATCAGACAGTCTGTTTCATCTTTACTTCGCCATTCCTGTGGAAAACTTGACCCAAAACAAGAAAGCTGTTTAATAGCCCAGGGGGAGCCCACCGCTTTCTGTAACGGAGAAGGCATTGATTAAAAAATGTAAAACAGTAGTCATTGTTAGGGGG